TAAGAAGACTTCAAAAGGTTCATGGAAAATAGAAAAAGCTAAGTTTAGTTTGGTGCAAAACTTTTTTTTTTTTTAATTTGAAAGTCAAAGTTACAGAGAGAGAGAGAGAGGAGAGACAGAGAGATCTTCCATCTTCTGGTTCACTCCCCAAATGGCTGCAACAGCCAGAGCTGGGCCAGGCCAAGGCCAGGAGCCAGGAACTTCTTCCACAACTTTCACATGAGTGCAGGTGCCCAAGGACTTGGACCATCTCTCACTGCTCTCCCAGGCTATTAGCAAGGAGTTGGATAGGAAGTGGAGCAGCCAGGACTCAAACCAGGGCCCATATGGGATGCTGGCTCTGCAGGTGGTAGCTTAACACACATTGCCACAGCACCAGCCCCTGTAAAGTTTTTTAAATTCCATGCATATTAGGGATGTTCAAATGCTTCTGGAAAATGCATGTTATGTAAAAACTATGCTCCGCCTAGCGGCGCCGGCACACCAAGTTCTAGTCCTGGTCGGGGTGCTGGATTCTGTCCCGGTTGCCCCTCTTCCAGACCAGCTCTCTGCTATGGCCCGGGAGTGCACTGGAGGATGGCCCAAGTGCTTGGGCCCTGCACCCCATGGGAGACCAGGATAAGTACCTGGCTCCTGCCATCCGCGCCAGCCGCAGCGGCCATTGGAGGGTGAACCAACGGCAAAGGAAGACCTTTCTCTCTGTCTCTCTCTCTCTGTCCACTCTGCCTGTCAAAAAAAAAAAAGAAAAAAGAAAAAAGAAAACTATGCATGGTTTTCAAACTTGTTTGCATCAAAATAACATTTTTAATTCCATTGCCCAAGAATTTTTTAAAGCACTCCCTTACATAATTTGATCTATAGTTGTTTGCAATGTGTCAACATTAGTTTGAAGTGATGAATTATGAAAAAATAAAATCTAGATATTAAGCAAATCAGATGGGTTAGCAGTAAGATTAAGACAGTTTAGTTGTTCAGCCTGGACTATCTTAAACCCAGCAAGGAAGCCTTTTTAAAATAAAGAGGTTAGACAGAAGACTGTTCACTGCCAAATCATTTTTTATCACTGCAAATTTCAGGAAACTACTCCAGTGAGATTCCCTTAAATGATATTCAGAACATTATGGTGAAGAACAGGCAATCAGTTCCCTATTATTCCTTAAAAGAGCATTCTCTTTCTTCTCTTGGTAGTTCTTCCTGCTCTGCTCTTCCCAATGTATCTTTTAAAGAATTTAAATCACCTTCTAAACTTTTTAAGTTTAGATGCATCAATATTAAGTAATTACTTATAAGTTTTACTTCTGGTATTTTTAATAGACATTTCCTTCCTACTATCCCACCAAAATTACAGCTATCTAGTGAATAAACTAATTTCAACATAAGTTGCTATTCAAATAAATCTGCAATACTTTATGAACATAATGTTTCCTGGATGGAATTTGAAAATCTCTGCATTGGGCCAGAATTTCCTGCTTTATTTTGTTGCAGATTTAATAAAATCCTGGAAATTGCTTGACCTGCAGTATGGGCACTTGCAGATTGACTTCTGGAGCACATTCTCTCTACATCAGAAAATGTTGTTAAATATTTCCAGGATCAAGTACCAGAAATATTATCAAAACAATTTTTCTAATAAGTGCATATCATAGTGTGTGTTAGATAGGAGCAATCAATAATTCTCTATGAACTGAATGAGTGAGTAAATTAGGACAAATACTCTACCTAGGAGAAGTCTCATAGTTTGACAGAAATAATATAGTCATTGCATCATTATTATATTTATTGAATAACGAATTTTACTTGGTGAGATACTAGAATTTATAGAGAATATTAATGCCATTCTTACTCTCTTTCAAGATAAAATCTCTGAAAAAAAAAGAATATTTTCATTCATACTACAAATTTTTAGTATTTGCTATCTGCTAGCACTGTTCCAGGGACTGGTTGTATAATGGCAAATAAGGCAGACAAAAATCCCTGCCTTTGGAGAACTTACATTTAAATGTGGATGACAACCAAACAGCAAAATATGTATTATCTTTTTTGATAAGTGCTATAGAAATAAAAGTACATAAACAGGCATATGAAGTGGATGGAGTGTTTTAGATAAGATGCCTAGTACAGGCTTCATAAAGGAAATTTTTGAATTAAGAGATAGAGATCTGAAAATGTGCTATATTCCCATAATAGCACAAGAAAGGGGAGAGGATAGGAAATGGTGTTGTGTGTGAGGACTAGGTGCTATATTGGTCCTTGGTGATCCACTACTGCATGTAGCAGTCCGTATTGGGTCCCACTATGGTTACCCACCAACACATTGGGACTCAGTGTGTGCACTACACTTGAACAGCGTTGTGGTTTGAATTGGTAGGAAGGCTAGGGGAATGGCTTGTAGATTCAAGCAGAACAGAAAGCACTGAAACCAGTGTCAGGTGGGAGGTCACAAGGCCTCTCCAGCTCCTTTGGCTAATTTCCATTTATACATCCAAAAGAAAGAGAAAAGTTGTACAAGGAAATTATTCTAACATGTAATTTGAAAAGGAAAAGCAGGAAAGGAAAGCAAGGGAACTTGAGATTCTAGAAGAGATTCATGATGGTTACGGAAAGACAAGGAGGTCAGAAATAAGCAGCAATACAAAGGCTCTGGTTGGCTTCTGGGCAGTCAAAAATGAATATGGAATATGGCAAATGTGTCTGTGTGAGGTGGGGGCAGGGATGAATTGTGCTAAAAGACTTAACCCCTAGGACCTCAGACCATGATGTTATTTGGAAGAAGGGTCACTACAGAAAGAATTAAAGATAATGAGATCACACTGGAGTATGGTCGGTACCTAACTGAATATGACTGGTGTCTTTGTTGAAAAAAAAAAAAAAAAAAAGAGAGAGAGAGAGAAACCTGGGGGCTGATGCTGTGGTATAATGAGTAAAGCCTCTGCAATGCTGGCATCCCATATGGGCACTGGTTTGAGTCATGGCTGCTCCACCTCCCTGCTAATGGCCTGGGAGAGCAGCAGAAGACGGCCCAAGTACTAGGGTCCCCTGCACCCACGTGGGAGACCTGGTTGGAGTTCCTGCCTTTGGATCCAACAGCTCCAGCCATTGAGGCCATTTGGGGAGTGTGAACCAGGAGATGGAAGATCTCTGTTTCACCCTCTCTGTAAATCTGCCTTTCAAATAGGTGAATAAAGCTTTAAGACAGAGAGAGCCATTTGAACACAGAAACATGTACACAGGGTGAGCACCATGTGGAGACTAGTCACCCTGCCTCAGCCCTCACTCAAGGCCTTCCACTGGTCATGGGGCCGCTGCCATCTTGCTGTCAGACCTCTGCCCTCCAGAACTCTGAGACAGTAATTTCAGGTGTCCCAAACCCTTCAGTTTGTGCCAGCTGTTTTAATACCCCTGGGAAACGAATTCAGCCAAGATTATTTTCGAGGCCAACAGGAAGATCACTCTTATCGTTCGAGAAGAATGAGGCATCTGATTGTCACGTGCATCAGGAAAGTCCAGTATCTTTGACTTCTGTAGAGAAAATTGTATTTTCCTGTTTTACCAAACCTCTCTAAGTCAACTGTTTCATTTTCGTTTTAGAAAAATCACATCAAATCTGCTCTCTGATGAACAAATTACAGAGCCCCTCCTGATTTCCTGATTGATGTGTGTCTGCAGTATTAGTCACACACACAGAAACTGATCTGTGAACATGAGGCACAGATGAAGAATAAAGCTCTTTCCAGACACAGAACTGAAAGAGTAAAAGTTGCAGAGAGAGAAACCTAGATTCAGCTCTTCTTCCCACAGGTTGTGCAGCTCACTGCGCCCCTGTGCCCTGCAGGGCTGCAGCCTGGGAAGATTCTGCCCCCAGTCACAGAAGGGTCAGGGCAGAGCAAGGTGCAAAGAAATCCAAGGTTTTCTTGGCTTCCTTCCCGATGGCACAGGACCCAAAACCAGCTGCGGCTTCAGGCGCATGCCCGGCCTGGAGGGCGGCCTAGAAAGGGAGCGTCCCTGGTCAGGTTCGCCCCGCCGTGGAGGAGGAGGCCAGAGCGGGCGGCAGCCCCTGGGACAGCGCAACCTCTGCCGTGTTCGCTTGGCCACGCCGCAGCCAACTCAGTTGGACAATTATTTTGTGGCCTAGGAATGTCGTTCCTCCCGCGTTCAAAGGGAGCGGGGCAGAACCGGCACGTCCGGAGGGGTGGAGCCCGATGGCCTAGGGCAGCCTCGAGAAAGCGCCCTCCAGGGTCTGGAAGGCCGCGCTCCCCTAGGAAACCCCGGGCAGTCACTCCGCGGCTGTTAGGGCCTCTGTTCTCAAGCTGGCCACAGCCAGGAGAGCCTTCACCGTCCCTCGGGCTTGGCGAGCGCCCTCCCAGCAGGCGTCCTCGGTATCCCCTAGCGGCACTGGCCTCCTCGCTGCACGTGCATCCCAGCTTCGTTCTCGGGCGGCTGTTTGGCTTCCCCCGGACCCCTCCCGGGCCGGGGGCTGCCCAGCGTCTTCCCCGGGAAATTCCCGCCTGTGCAGCTGGCCGTCCAGCAACCGACTGCAGGCGGGCCGGGTATCCAGGGTGGAAAGCCAGCTTCGGGCGAGTCGGCAGGTGCAGCTGGGGCTCCCGACTGCTATGCCGTACCTTCTCCGGGCCCACCCCCCGCCCCAAAGACGGCCGCCATCAAGCTCCTCTGCGGCGGCAGCTGCAGCCGACAGGCAAACACGCCCACCAACACGCTCAGCCTCATTTGCCACGGAGGGGGAAAAAAAAAAAAAAGGCAGGCCGGCAAGCCAGCACTGAGCATGCGCAGTGTGGAGGGCGGGGCGCTCTCCGGCTGCGCGTCGGAGCTGGCGCTCCTCAGGCCGGCCCGGCGCCTCCGCCGCCCGCCCGCCCGCACGCCCGCTCGGAGCCGCGCCCGCCGCAGGCTGCGCCCGTCCCGCCCCGCCCCGCCCCCCGCCGCTCGTCCCCGCCGCGGCCGCGCCGCCTGCAGCAGCAGCAGCAGCAGCAGCAGCGGCACCGGCAGCAGCTGCTCCTTCCCGGCGGCCGCCCCCCGCGGGTCCCTCCCTGGCTGCGGGAGAGAAGAAGGTAGAAGGAGGACGCCGAGCCGCGCTGCCCGCGCCGGAGACCTTCGCCTTGCCCTGCCTGCTCCTCACCTCCTAGGAGGAACATGGGTAAGTCATCCTCCCTCCCCCGTCATCGCCTGACATTTTTCTCTCTCAGCCTGCTGCAGGGTGGGAAGCGTTTCTCGCGCAAAGTTGCCGGATTCCCCAAGCCCACGGGCGTGAGGCGGTGGCTGAGCCACCGGGGAGCGTCGGCGCACGCGGCACGCGCGCCGGTACCGGGCCGGGAGGGTCCCGAGCCGGGTGGGGTCGGGCTGGGGCCGGACCGCCGCCCGGCTCTCCGGCACCTCGCTGCCTGCCTCCCCTCCTCCATGCTTCCTGCCGGTGCCCGGGCACCCCGGAGCCGCCTCGCCGGCTCGCCTCCTCTGCCCCAGCGCCGCTTCCCCCGAGGCCGCTGGTCCGCCAGCCAGCCGGCCGACCCCCGGAGACACCACTTGGTGTAACTCGCTTCCCTGTCAGGGCGACCTTTCCCCATCTTGGGGACTGCGCGTCCTGGGCAGGGAAGTGGGAGCAAGTAGTTGGTGAGGGCGATTCTACAACCTGCACAGAAACAATTTTCCATGGGCGAGAGCGGACAGCCCCATAGGCTGGGAGGATGACTTGTCAGAGGCCACGAGGAACGTGAGGCAGGGTAGAGCCGCTAGCTGTTGAATTAGTGTCGGGCGACTACACCGTGCGGTGCTCCAGTGCTCAACCCGCTTCTCGCCGTCTTCGCCCGCCTCCTGCCTCAGGAAGCTGCACCCTGTGACATATTGTTACCCAACTTACATGCTAGTTATTCCTTCCCGGCTTCCCCTGCCTCAATCTGCATAATCTGATTTTAGTTCCTTTGTATTTAAAGTTAATCTCGAGGGAGAGGTTTGCTTTTAAACATCTCACCCAAAGCAATCTTACAAAAATGTAATTGAACCTCAGTGTTTCTCATTGTGTATTTCTGAACTTTTACATTCAGGCATCACAAATACTCGTGCATCTGTTAAATTCTGTAATGCCACCCAGAGCCGAAAGTTTCTTTTAATAGTAGCAGCTCGGAATACTGTACTTCTGCGTGTTCCCCAGTTTGTTTCCACTCCTGTCTGTCATAATTTCCTCATTTAAAAAATTTGCTCCATTGGCATCTGTCACGTCAGGCTTTTCCCACCCCTTCTGCGCGAGTTATTTTTAAGCTTGAGATGAGTGTGGTCCTTTCATCTGCCATGCAGTGCTCTATGCATCCAGAGTTAGGTCATGGCAACTCAAAATGTTCAAGGAAATATCTCAATCTAGAAATGGTGTTGATGGAGCTTCCTAGAAAAGCAAAGGCTTCCTGGAAAAGCTCTGATTCAGACCTCTGGCCATTTAGCAGGAAGAGGTGGTATAAAGGAAAAATGATGTGGGTCCCTGAATTTTATTTTCAGTTGTTGACAGGCTGAGCAAATCTCTGTAAAAACAGGGTGGCCCATTTTCATATGCCTATCCTTTTTCTAGGAGCAGAATTTTAAATGAGATTATTGGACATATTGTGTCTTTCCTTTAAGTATGCATACATTTTCTTAACTATAGGCCACAAGCTTGGCCTATAAAATGCATTTCCCCATGTGTCAAAGTAACTTAAAAACCCATTTGACTAAAAATTTTAGCATTCATGTTGAATCAGTACTTTTTAAATGGAAAAATCCAAATCAGTTGCAACACACCTGAATAAAAATACCTAAAACAAATGAAATTGCCTATTTAAAAATTATTAATCTTTAAAATAGTGGATACTATTACATAATTTAAAAAATAAAAGTCCAATTAGAAGCCCATCACTCATTTGACACCATAGAAGCTGTTTGGTTTCTCTTATAGTACTTGTTGGTACCTTGGTAGAAGCTTTTTAGCACTTACATAATCTGCCTTATAATGGAATTGTTATTAATCATGAGTTTCAAAAGATGAAAAGTATGTCCTAATAATTTTTGTGTCTCTCTCAGTGCTTTTCTCGTAGTAGGCATTTAGTAAATCTTTGGCAAATTAATTGTTGGACCTAAACCACTTACCTTTTAATTTTCAACATTTGAACCTAAAAGTATAGGCTCTGAACAAACTTTGAACAAACCTTTGCGCTGGTAGGTGTTATGGAAATGTGGAAGAAGCCACAACAGGGAAGAATATTTATACTATAGCCTCTTTCTTTTTAAAAGAGAAGAAAAAGTTGGATGATCCTGTCAGGCTTTGGGTCAGACTTAGGCAAGACGTTTCTTTCTGTTCTGCCATTCCAATGGTAAAGCTGTTTTGTGTATGCTCAGTAGGTACATACAATAATATAAAATTGAAACCCTGGAAAGCAATTATTTGAGCCAAGGAAGTTACAATAATTAATACATATAGTATATATAATATATACATATTAATATACATCTATATTATATACATATATTAATATGTATATGTATACATATGTACTGCATATTTACATGCACACATATATATATGAGGTGGAACATATGTTGGTTAATGGTAAGGGGAAAAAAATCACTGTCTTCTCAAAAATAAGGTGATTAAAAATATATATTCTCATGACTGACATTTCTCCATAAGAAAGTGAAGAAAAATTACTATATAGCCTTATGGGCCATAACTATTAATTTATGTGTATACTTTACTATAAATTCACAATATTTAATATTGTGAATATATAAACACAATATATAAATATATTTTTATATAATTTATAAACAATATTTATTGTCATGTACCATATTCTATGAGAGGATAAAGGTGAGTAAACATTCATGTTTCAAGTTGTTTGTAATCTTTTTTATTTTAAATTTATATTTGAAAGAGTTACAGAGAGAGGTGTTACATCTGCTGGTTAATTCCCCAGATGGTTGTAACGGCTGCTACTGGACCAGGCCAAAGCCAGGAGCCAGGAGATTTTCCCAGGTCTCCCAAGTGAGTGGCAAGGGCCCAAGCACTTGGGCCATCTTCCAATGCTTTTCCCAGGCCTTTAGCAGGGAGCTGAATGGGAAGTGGAGCAGCTGGGACACGAACCCATGCCCAGATGGTATATGGTGGCAGCTTGAACCTGCAACATCACAGAGCCTGCCCCAGTTGCTTATGATTTTAAGGAACACATCACAAATAACTGTAACAGGAATGAATGTTAAAGTGATACAAGAGAACTTTACATCTAATATGGATTCAAGGGATGGAGAAAACATTTGAGGGAAATGGTGTTATTTGAACCAAAGGTCGGTTAAGTTTCTAAATGGCAGAAGTGAGACTGTTAATCAGAATGAGGGGGAGGGATGATAGAAATGAAAATCCAGAGATAGGGAACTTTTGAGGAATTTCTAGGATGTGATTAACCATGTGAAAGATAAAGAAATCATAGGTGACAGTGATGAAAAAATTCTAGTAGACCAGATACTGGAAAACCTTAAATGCCAAATGGTAGAAGAGTTTGTACATCACTTGTCTATTGAGGGTAATTGTTAAACATTTTTGTGCAGTTAAGTTATAGATTACATCTGTAATTAAGAAAATCTGTCAATTGAGTGCAGAATGGGTTAGATGAGAAATGAGAGAATGCTTCAGAAGGGAGTTGCTGCAGTTCCAGTAAAAATGTTTCATGTCCTGAACTAGATTATGGCACTTGATTGCCTGGGTGATAATGACAATGTGGGGATCTGTTAATACATTCTCAATCCATTGGAAGAGGAAACATGAGAACCCATTTGAACTTGTTGAGTTGGACATTTTGGCCTGTCTCTGCTCCCTAATGACAGGGACTCTGTTATATTAGGTTTTGAATGTATTTGTAATATCACTGTGTGGCACATAGCTTTATATGGTAGAAATGTGCTGACTAAAATAGGTAGAAAAAATTAAACGTTTATTTGTAACTCTCAAGAGAAGGTTTGAACTAGAGATTTAGAAGCGATCCACAGATATCCTGAGGTGATATTTGAAGTTGATAGAGGATAAGGATCAACAAAGAAAAAGAAGATAATCTGTCCAAGGTAAGAATTTTGAGGAATGCCCTCAGAGTTAGGGAAAAGGAATCGCGTGATTTGACACTGAAAAAATACCAAAGTAGGTAGCAGTGAAAGACTAGAATCATATGGTTGATTTCCAGAAAGAATAAATGGTCAATAATGTCTTTTTTTTTTTTTTGGTTTATTTATTTATTTGAAAGTCAGAGTTGCACAGAGAGAAGGAGAGGCAGAGAAAGAGGTCTTCCATCTGCTGGTTCATTCCCCAATTGGCCGCAGTGGGCAGAGCTGAGCCGATCTGAAGCTGGGAGCCAGGAGCTTCTTCTGGGTCTTCCATGCGGGTGCAGGGGCCCAAGGGCTTGGGCCATCTTCTACTGTTCTCCCAGGCCATAGCAGAGAGCTGGATAGGAACTGGAGCAGCCGGGACTAGAACCAATGCCCATATGGGATGCTGGCACTGCAGTCAGCAGCTTTACCCGCTATGCCACAGTGCTGGACCCAATAATGTCTATTTCTACAGAATAATCAGTGATAAAGGACTGAGAAAAGGCTTAAGTTCATATACTTTGGTAGGATGTTACCCAGTATGATCAGCTGTTCATATCCATACCTGCTGCTTCTATGGATTCAACCAACTGGGAATGAAAAATATTTGGGGAAAAAATTAAGTCTATATTGAACACGTACAGACTTTTTTTTTATCCTTATGCCCAAACAATACACATGTACATTGTGTTAGGTATTGTAGGTATCTAGAGATGATTTAAAGTACATGAGAGGATACGTATAGGTTGTATGCAAGTACTATTTCATTTTCTATAAGGGACTTTGGAAACCATGGATTGGGGTGGGGGTGAGGGTACTAGGTAATGAGAAGGTCCTGAAAAGAATCACTGAAGCATACTGATGGACAGTTTTTATATTTTCCAAACAGGTTACTTAAGAAAGGTATGGTAAATATGGAATTTAGTTGTAAAGTAAGCGGGTAATGAGTAGGAAAAAACAGCTCACTGTGTATTTTCATGCTGTATTCCTTATTTTGTTTAAAGATCTGTAAGAAAGCATAGATTTTTTTTTAAATGTTGCACATTA